AAAAAAAAAAAAAAAAAGTATGGAGGATAAGGCCAGCTGATTATCCTGTGGTCTACCTACTTGCTGCCCTTCTTCAACTGCCCCAAACAGCACCAGCCCTCCCTCTGTTTTCAAGACCATCCTAAGTCCCCATTCTTCTGTACCAGCCTTATTATTCCTCGTGTTCCCCAAAGGTACTGTCTTACTAGAAAATATCTTCTACTGTTTCTCTCTGATCCTACTACCTTACCATTCTCCCTTTGAAGAACAGAATGTTACTTCTGGTCTTCATCTTTACTGAGTTAGGTCTCAACATCCTCCTCCTCTACTTAACAGTTCTTCCATCCCTCCAAGATTCCAGAGGCCCTTGCTTAGTCTGCCCCAGCTTTGCAGGCTTTGTGCTACCATCCCCCGACATCCCTGGGGATTTTCTGCAGCCCCAGCTGAAGGCCTCACCTCCACCTTCATCCTTTCTTTTGCTTCTCCACGTCCTAGAACCCATTCTCCTGAACTTTCTCATCAAGAACCACTCCATTTTAGAGCTAGAGGAGATTTGGACGATCATTCTTATGTATACATTTTTTTTTTATCGTTGGGAAATCTGAGGCCCAAAGAAAGGTAGTGACTTGCCCAAGGTCATATAGAGATGTTACACAGTTTGATGATGGCAGAGCCAGGATTGGAGCCAAGGAGACTGCTCTCCCACTTCTTGGGCTATCCAGCACTGGGTGGGGGCCAGAAGCCTTTATTTCCTCAGAAAACAGTACTCCCTCCTCGCCACTGGAGACAATGCGGGGGGAAATGAAGGAGAGGGTCTCCAAGAGGTCTTAAGGGTCATCCACGGCTTCCAAAGGGAACAAGCACGGGGGGAGGGGCATGTCGCACGCCAAATATCTCAGGAGAAACTATGGCCCCCAGCTCTCCCCTTGTCCCACAGTTGCCCCCTCTTTTTTCCGACCTTTCTCCACAAATCCACCCTACACTTCTTTCCTTTCTCCTCACCCAGTCCCGCAACTCTCGTTCCCCTCAACAACCCCCCACCCCCGCCATCCTCCAT